GTTAAAGGGGCGGGGCAAAAAAGTGGGCCACTGTGTCTGGCTCTGGCTGTGTGGTGGCAGTGAATGGTGACAAGCCTTCTGCCACCACAGGCTCTGAGTCCCAGAACCTGCCCTTGGACTCTGATACCTTGACAGCTACCTTATCAGGGCATATCCCGGTGAAAGGAACCCTTAAACAGAAGCATTCCTCTGGGGTTTCTCAAAATGCAGATGGACAAATCCTTGAACTACCAGTGCTTCAGTCTGCTGCACTTTCCCCCTTTACCCAAGATAACCCTAACCCCAATGAACACATGAATTTAGAGGAGGCTGATTCACACACACCACCCAGTCAGTCACAGGGTTCTGAAAGAGAGAGACCAGGTAGAGGCCAGCAGGGCTCGCCGTCCTGCACACCTGCGCCACAGCCTCCTCTGCCCTGTAGTTCTTCCTCAGACTGCCTTGATGCTCATGTTAGGGAACGCATCCTTCTCAACAGCAGCCGCCAAGCTGAGATTGAAAGCCGGTTACGTCGACTGCGTAAACGTCTTCAGGTGGTACAAGCCAAGCAGGTGGAGCGGCACATTCAGCAGCAGCTGGGTGGTTTCTTGGACTCAGCTCTCAACCGGCTCCTGGCTGGTAACCGCAAATCAGAGACAGCAACCCCCACAGCTACATGGCGGACTGGACGCCACTCTTCGTCAAACAACAGAGATGGCCTCAGCCGCTTCCTGAAAAGTGGGTCCATGCCCTTGGAACTAGAGAGGCTGTATCTGAGTGGATCAGCCAACCTTCATTCAGCAGAAAGCGCTTTTGACTCAGATGTAACAGAAAGCAGCTCTGGAGGGGACACTGACCTGGAGGAAGAGGAGCTTACTCGAGTAGACATTGAGCAACGACATGTCAAGATGTAAGTAAAATGTCCTCACCTACTGAAAAGCTTACTTAGGGCTGAACGCATGTATGTAATTCTGCAGAACTGGGGAATGCACTGCTGAAGCTCAAGTTGAATGTTTGAGGCAGCATTTATGTGAAAAGTGTTTAACAGTATATCTCAGTTTTAGGATTCCGCAAGTGTTGACTACATTTGTTTGTTCCTCCATTCCAAGTAGATTACATTTCTCTCACATTTTCTGTGCTGTGAATTCCCTGTATTTCTAAACTCTTCAAAATGCTACTTGGGCCTAGCAAGTGCTAATGACAATTATAACTGCCTGTTCTGCCTCAGCAGTGGTTGAGTCAAACTCTAGGGAGCGGTGGAGGTGCCATTCACCCAGAGAGCATGTGTAGTTGTGTGGGTGGTATCATCCTGGCACAGGCTCGAATGGACAGAAAGTAAAATCTTCTCTCGTCACACAGTGCTTCCTCTGAGAGGGCCAAGGCTGAAACTGAATGTTGTTTATCTGCAGAGCGAACAAGTGAGCGCCCACAGAGCCAGTGAATGTTTTGGCTTAAACTGAAACAAAGAAGAAACATAGGGTTGGGGGTGTTTTTGCAGAAGATGTGGGTTTTATGTTTCTAGATGCTGCCTGTTGTGGTGTAAGGTTTACCTCAGCAGGAGTTTTGAATGTATTCCATATGAAGTTCATCACATCAGAGTACCCATTTCTGTGTCATTACTTTTTGGTAGAAGGCAAAATGCAGCATTAATGGGACTTTGTGTGACCTGTGTAGGGTTGGGTAGATTATTAACTAAGTAGCCAAGAACACAGATTTTTATTATCCTTTCCTATGTTGACTTTAGAACTTTGACCTAAATATCTTCATTATCTAACAGGAAGTTTGTGTGTAATGCTTGCATGATCCAAAAGTAGGAAAATTTATAATGTATTGAATATTAAAGCCACTCATTCGTTTGAATGCATCCTTTTAAGGTGAATGGACAGTGAACTACAGCTGTGTGGCCTGCAGCTCATTTGTAGGAAGAGTGAATGATATTTGATTTGATTTATTCTTTCAAACATGTAAAGACAGTTGATATGTCAACACACATAATTTTACACATATCCAACAAATGCTAATCCAATATCAATTTGCTTATACCTAGTACATGCTGAATGAAGTAGGAAGAAGTCAGACTTATCCAGTCCTACCCCATGACATCATCTTACCATCATTGGTTTGCAAGCAGTATCTCTACATAAATAATTCTGTTCTACACCACACAAGTAATATACTAAAAAAATTATAACAGAGTGTTAACATTCTTACATAATAACATTCTTAAATAATTATCTTCTACAACACACAAGTAATATACTAAAGAATTATTACAAAGTGTTAACATTCATACACCACACCCACAATGTTCCATCTGGTTAATCATTAAGCCTGTTCTTGCATATATCTTGATTGACACATACCTTTATATTTATGTTTAAACTC